TTCCGAGAAGCCAAATATCGAGGGCACCTGATCGAAACTGATCGAATTAGAAAAAAAAAGACTGGAGCTTGTTCGCTTATAATTGTTTATTTGGTTGGTAAGACAAGGCTTTCCAATATCGGAATATTTGAAAATAAAATTGACTACAAACTGGCTTAAATAATGAGCAGCACAAAATATAGTCTTGATTACGGACTACAATATTATTAAATGTATTCCCCCTTTGACCACATGTTAATTTTCTATTGATCAATGCTGCACGTGCTAGATGATGTAGCTGATGTGAATTTCATTTTGTTACAGAAAGAATTCTGTGTATTGAACGTTAGAAAAACAGTTTTGATAAAGGTGAGTTATTGAAATTATCTCCTAATCGATTTTGAGACTTGTGTCTGATAGCATTTCTCGTCCCTAATGCTATTCATTCAATATTATGACATATTAAGTAATATTTTCTATTTCACAAACGCATAGTCCGAAACATTCGGTACATCTTCGTGCATAGTCCGATGCGTGCCTACATTATTTTTCACAATTGTTGTCATTCATTTCATTCATTCGGTAATTCTTTCTTTCTTCATTCAGTCAGTCATTTAATCATTTGAATTTCGTATCAAAATGATTTGTGTTGGCAGCGTTTTTTTTTTCCAAAACGTGCTTGCTGATTGTAATTACGTTCATTCATTCGTTCATTCATTCAATTGGTTTTTTTTATTCAAATAAAGTGCAACCAGCACTATGGCCAATTCGAGTCGAAACTTGTCAAGTTCTTACGAATGTTGCATCTTAACTGTTTGATTCTGTGATCCCTGTTTGATAAATCTGTGCCTCTACAAGCCGATCCACCTAGTTATTTCTTAAAACTGCCCAGAAATTCAATCCACAACTTTCTAAGATCTGAAAAATGTCCCTAAAATATTATGTCTTCATGTTTATATTTTATATCAAAGTAAACATTCGTTGTAGACCAGCATACTATTTTGAACCTGACATAGAACATAATAGAAATAATAGATATTCGATTAACCAATCTGCAGTGGTCCTACAGTAACTATCTCATCCTTCGATTTTTTACTTCATGACTTAGGCCAGTGCTTTTTGAGAATACTATTCTCATCTCACTCGAACACTAACGTAGTAAGTACCAGCGAATGGAGTAAGAACTTGCTGATTTGATGTTACTACACCAACTATCTCATCCTTTGATTTTTTATTTCATGACTTAGGCCAGTGCTTTTTATACGTCCACATTAAAATGTGGTCCTATATTGTCGTCGCCCCTGTCCGCCCGTCCACAATTAGCTTGTGAACGTAAACAGTTTTCATCCAATTTAAATGAAATTTGGTGTTAATATTTATAATGATGAGATCTTGGACAACTTCGAATTTGGCTATCTTTTAATGAACGGTTTTTGGGTTATTGCCCTTGACTTAGTAAAAACGCATCAAAATTTGTTGGCGATAGAGGTGACAGTTTATGTCAGAATTTTATTAATTAATGTGTGTTTGTGTAAATCAACAATATCTTGTACAAATTAGATTTTTGGCATGATTTGACACAGATAGGTGACCGCCCTTGATATACTGAAAATGTATCAGGAAAGTGGGCGTATCTTGCTAGGCAACCAATTGTTGAGAATACTATTCTTAACACCAAATTGAATATGGCCGCTTTCCGCTTATAAAACATTACACTCGTTATTTATAGGACAGTTGGCCTATAGCGCTGTATTTGGTTCAAAATAGGATCCAAATCATATGGTATGAATTATTAAATTCACGTGGTCATTCGTTAGGTAGAAATGACTAATCTAATAAAAAAAAATACGTAGAATCTAATTCATTTTTTCAATTTTCATCTTTCTAGAAAACAATTTAGATCATACAAATTTTAGAACGTAGCACGAGGATTGTACACATCATTGTGAACTTTTGTTTGAAAGAAAACTTGTGTATAGAACATTACAGCTTTAGATAAGATAAGTCAATTGAATCATATTTAAAGGGACAGATAGGCCATTTTTTGACCAATCATCATACTGTTCACAGCTCACGGCAGAAATTTGAGTTTTCAAATCCATGTCTGTTCAGAATTATCTCAGTTTAAATGTTAAAATGTCGACTCGTCAATTTATATCCGAAACCCGCCTAAATAGGATGATACTAGCTCTTGTCAATTCATTATCAAGACTTTAAACTTCAATTGGTTTTATTGTATTTCAATTGACAGCTATATGGATGGTGGTGAAGGCTAAATTTTGGTTTTGAAAGAAATCCTGTGTATCAAAAAGCATGAAATACTGTTTGCAAATAGGCAAGTTCTGTTATTATCAATATTTTAAAATTTAACTATGTTCTCCCGTCAATGGAAAAAAACTTGAATCAAAAGTGTGTCTATCGGATCGGACATTCAGCCGATGTCAAGCCTGATGCAAAATTTGTACAATTGCGCCCCCTAAGGATGGCAAAATAACGCTTTTACACACTGCTGTTAAAAAAAAGAATGACAAAAAAAAATATTTGATTTTATTTCATTTTTGCAGTAATATGGATGTTTGAAACTGTGTTTTGAATTATGTCTACAGAATATCACGAAAAACAGTTTTAAAGAAGGTAAGACACCTACACATTTCTATAATTTTGGAGTATTTGGTTTTTCTACGCCAGTCCCGTTCTAATGACTTATACCAATCAGAGCATGTGCGTTGGGACCCGTTTTTATACTACAACATGTCCCATGTCCGTCGAAGGTCCGTCCGTCGGTCCGTCGGTCGGTCCGTCGGTCCGTCTGTCCGTCGGTCCGTCTGTCCGTCGGTCCGTCTGTTCACATTTCTTGTAGGCGCGATAGAGGCTACAGTTTTTATCCGATCTTGGCTTGTTGGCACAATAGAGAGAACAGTTTTAATCTGATCTTGATGAAACTTGGTATGCATGTATATATTGATGAGATCTCGGTCAAGTTCGAAATTGATATTAATCGGATGAATGGTTTTGGAGTCATTGCCCTCTACTTAGAAAAAATGCATTAAATTTGCTTTGTAGATAGAGGCTACAGTTTTTATCTTATTTTCATGAAACTTGGTATGCATGTATGTATTGTCGAAATAAGTAATAATCGGATTAACGGTTTCAGAGTTATTGCCCTTGACTAAGTAAAAATTTAGCTTGCAGAGACTACAGTTTTAACTCATCTTTATGAAACTTGGTATGCATGTATGTATTGATGAGATCTCGGTCAAGTTCGAAATTAGTAATAATCGGATGAATGGTTTCAGAGTTATTGCCCTCGACTTACTAAAAACGCGTCATATTTCACTTGCAGGCACAATGAAACTACAGTTTTTACCTGATCTTGATGAAACTTGGTATGCATGTGTATATATATATTGATGAGATCTCGGTCAAGTTCGAAATAAGGAATAATCTGAAGAATGGTTTCAGAGTTATTGCCCTTGTTTTCGTAAAAACGTGTCAGATTTCGATTGTAGGCACAATAGAGACTACAGTTTTTATCCAACATAGATTAAACTAGGTATGCATGTATTTGTTGATAACATCTCAGTCGAGTTCGAAATTGGTAATAATCGGATGAGGGTTTCGGAGTTATTGCCATTGACTTAGTAAAAACTTGTCAAATTCGGCCTGCGGGCATGATAGAGACTACAGTTTTTATGCAATCTTATTGAATCTAGATGCATGTATATATTAATGAGATTGCGGTCAAGTTAGAAATTGGTAATAACTGGTTGAACCGTTTCAGAATTATTGCTCTTGTGTGTACTGTGATGAGACATTTTATGAACTGTTTTAGGTTTTTACCTTGACTTATAGATGATTTTAAGATTATTTGAAAATTCATTATTAAGCCACTAAATATATTGTGATCATTTCTGACAACTGGTAGTGGGCGCATGTTATTTTGCCTGGCATTAACATTGAATTAGGCAGAAGCATGCTTGCTAACTTGAGGTTCTGCAGATCGTCGGTCACTATAGTACCTTTAGATTGTTGAATATGCTTTTCCCCTTGTCATGTAAAAGATTCTTTAGCTAATGGTGTGTACTGCAAAAAATTTTCCTCATTGCCCACTGCGTAACAGATGGACCCTATTAATCCAATCAGCAAAACTAGATATTGTTATTTAATGGCTGAAATATATTTTATTAGCTACAACAACTTGGAATATAATATATACATAAAAAAAACATTGGATGTATTAATTTCATGAGACAGTCTTTCCTTTCCTTTATACAAAGCACACATTGAAAGGCACTGAGGCAATGTCAAGAATTATAAAAAAGTAATAATCAATGGAAGCTCTTCTAAAACAAAAATATCATGGAAAAAATTATATGGATTTCATAGTTAGTAATTCAAATTGCTAAAATATCAAAAGACAAGTAATTTAGATCTATAACCAAAAAACTATTATTTCATTGTATTTCCATAAGCACTATGATAATAACCATTCATTTGGAAGTAATTTAGGGAAAGACAATTTAGTATATGTATATGTCTTATATCATAGATTCTTGAATGGGTATATATATATACATGGGAACATGTCGTTGCCTTTGAAACCAGTTGCATTTTACCAGAAAACCAACACATGATACTTGATGTTTATACGTTCATTTGAATGACATATCTATTGTGTGTTCTCAGTTTCTTTTTATAATACTGTTTTCTATTCCATCTTTTAACGTTCTTCATGAAATATTTATTTTTTCTGGACCATCTCGATAGATTAGTATAAAATAGTTCATCTTGTATAGTTTGAGGTCTGTAGAAATCGTGTAAAGTTTTTACGATTGCCATCGAATCACCTGAAACAACATAAATAATTTATTAAAACATCCAATAGTATTTTAATTTCCTTAAGATTTTTATATACAAGTGTAAATTTCCAAAATACATGTACTTCAACAAGATCAGCTAAAAATCCTTTAAAATAGCAATTTTATCTAGCAGAGCAATAAAATTAAGGACAAGATTAACTACTAACCTACTGGATTTCCAGAATAAACTTTATTTGAAAATGTGAATGGTTTCTCTACTTTTTCCAATACATCAGCATTAAAAGCCTGACCATTAAATGATTTCCCCTGAAAGAACATTTTTTCATTGTATTCGTAATATTGTATTTATTTTTTTTGCTGNTGAAATATGAATTTATATTAAAAAAGATATAGCTAGGCATACAGACACATTTGATTTTAAGAGGTCTTTTGCATTGCAAAACCGCTAAAACTGCTGGATATATTTCTCTTGGGTATAGCCTGTTCCCTTGAGAACTCAGTAAGAGCTAACTATTGGACCATCAAGATTTAATTTATAGTCTCTTACCGTTTGAACACAATTCATTAAAGTATCTATAAACAACTGCCATCTTGGTTGATAAAAACTGAAAATAAATGGTATTATGTACTAAACAAACAAAATTGGTGTGCCTTAAAAATAGAAGTTTCCATAGTTGCAAAAACCTGGAACTGATATAAAAGAAGGTAAATATATGTTTACTTACTCTGCAAACAAGCCTGCCCATTGTTTAGAAGCATAATCTACTATCTGAAAGATACAAATTTTGAATTTGGTTTAGTGAGTTGAGACAATCAACTTTGGCCCTGTGAACTACAGGTTGAGCACTCTTATGATACCTTGACTATATTTGAGAAAGCTTTAGATTTCCTTGCAAATCTTCCCTCATTGCATGGTGTTGCCTGTTATCTAAAACTCAGCTTGCAACTCATTGGAACTATAAAGGCCTAATTCTTCTTAAAATCCTTTTTAGGAGAGCTGGTTTCAGTCCTTAAATCCTACCATTCAAATCTTTTTAAGTTGTTTTGTTGTACGAACACAGACAGGACAAGAATCATGTGTTGCAATACTGTATATATGTGTGTATATTGCACAGTTTTTTTTTAACCTATTTCAATATTTTGCCAAGAGGTTAGACAGTCTATATTGACTGTATTGTAATGAAAGCCTTCTGGAATAGTAGGTGGTCTTATAATTCTTTTAAATATTCAATGTGTTTTGGTATACTATAAAATTTACCTCTCCATTGGGCCCCCACAATGTAATTTGGTTCCTAGCATTGTATTCATATAATCTAGATTGGTTACTATTACTTCCCCATTGTTTACTATCATCTAACCAATTAGCTAGCAGAAAGTGTCTATCTGATGCTAACAACTTTTCTAATTGTGATAGTAATATAATGAATCTATCGCCAGCTTGTCTGAAATTATGATTTTTATGAATACGATTAGTATGGACCAGGGGAGACCTCAATGATACATTTCTTTTATTTGGAAATATGCATTTTTATTTCATAATATTGAAGAAAAGTGTTTCAAATTTCCAAAAATTCAGGATTTAATTACTTTTTTCCCCAAATTGGACTCGATAAAAATCTAACCCCATCCAAATCTATGAAACTGCCATTGCTCAACAAAGCCACCTTCTAAGACAACATGTTATAATCTTGAAAAAACCCTATACTTACTTTAATTGTGTAGAGTTTTTCATACTGTATGCCATTAGAATATCAGAATACATCTTCATTGATATTACTTGTAAACTGTTTCTAGTAATGTCTACTAGATCATATCTATGTTAAAATTAACACATAGCATAAATTACAAAAAAAATCAGACTTATTAAATGTAATGTACAGGATTGAAGAGTTTAGAGTCTTTGTATTGTAGTATATTCTTGTTGTAGATTTTTGCTTGTTTTCTCTGATAATAAGCAATGACTTACGTTCAATAATAGAATTTGAAAAACTAGCGATCCTAATCAGGATTTTATATCCAAAACACATATTGTCAATATGGAGAACATATTCATTAGGCATAAGAGGTTTCTATCAGGGAAACTGGCAAAGAACCTTGCAGTCTTTCTACATAATTTTATCTGGTCTTGGAGCTTTGTTGAAAATGACCTTACCTAAATAGATCACTGTTATTAAAATTTGGTGAAGCTTTTACCATTAAGTCCCACGCTTGATACAGATATTTAGGACTGTACCATATCTAGGAAAATATAATTTCATTAATATCATAATATTATATGTATCATATCTTTCACATTGATTTAGTTTAATTATCATTTTAAAGAGGATGTGTGGTCAGGCTTCAAATCTGCAAGTCTTTCTCTCATTGAACACAAATCTTCAGGTTTTTGTTACATTGGAAGTCGTTTTAGGATTTTGTTTTCAACACCAATAGCAAGAGTAATCCTTGTTACTTGTAAAATTCATTTGCTTATATCATAATGTAGCATTTTAGTTTTCAAGCTATGGCAAAAGTATTTCCAAATATTCGGCCATACAGAAAAATAATTTACCTTGTTTTTATAAAGAGTTAAATCCAGTTCTTTATAAATAAACAAACACACATTCTATACATGTATACACATAAAGAGTATGGTGCAGTGGTTCATGCTAATAAAAATGCTCCTTTACCATCATTTGGTTTATATAGGACCAATTGGCCAAAGTACATTTTAAATAGATAAACACTTCAAAATGCAGACAAGCAGAATTATGCTTTGTGTCCCATATTTTTGTGTATAGTACACAGTTTTTCACCCAAAGTAACAAAAGCTTGCCAAAATCATATTAATTAGTAAGCAGCATACTAAAGCACAACATAGGATACTATATAGTTATTACTAACTAATGTACTGTTATTAGTATTAGGTCTTCTAGTTAAAAATACTAGATCGCCATCTGTATGGCCATCATTAGATTGATAGACACTATTCTAAAAACCAATAATACTAAATCAGCAAGAAATCAGAATTGACTCAAAGCAACAAGTGGAGTGCAAACAACTTGATGCAAAAATAAAACCAGATCAAAATATCTTAGTGGGTGCTTGGCATAGTGCATTTTGCACTCATTTCTTGCTATTATGGTTTGAAATAGCATTAGGTAATGCCTTTTATATATACTTGAATCATTGATTTTTGTTAATTTCTGGGTCTTGAGCAATGGATTGCAAATTTGGTAGGTAATGGTACAAATCAGTGAAAAGTAAAATATGATGTTAAAAATCATATTTAGTCAAATAAATAACCATTTTTAAGTGTGGATCAGAATAGCTGAAATTCATAATAATGAGGCTTAACATAACATAACACCCTACAGTTTTATTTCAATTCTGAAGTCTTAGACTGATATTGTAATCATTGGTAGTCTAAGACTTACTCGAGGTTTACCAATACCAGGTCGTCTGGTTAATAATACAATATCAAAGTCACCATGCCCATCATCACAATTATATACCGAAGACTAACAAATGTAAATAATATGTTATATCTGATGAGAAAATTAATGTCAGTCATGAGTATAATGCTATGAAATAACTTTTTAAAATCTCAATAAAAACACTCTGGTCCAAGGGGTCATGAACTATAAATAAAGTGGTTGACTATTTTCAAATCTTCATTAAAGGTACCCATACGAATTTGATTTAACGCATAAATATATATATGAATTTGATTTAACACATAAATATATATATATATCATAATATATATCTCTCTATGTGGATATTCATTTTGGATATCAAAGTCAAAAATTGAGCCAAAGAAATCATAATGATAATGACAAAGGATTAAGAAGTAGTATCCGTAATTCAGTTTGAAGTTTGAAAGGCATAATTTTTCCAAATTCTTAATGGGCATAATTATTTTTCTATTTTACCGAGCAGAATGTAAACAAAATCTGACTTTGATGTTGTAGATAAATGTGTTTTTAGTAAGTATTTCATGCAACATTTAGGTCTACTCATGCAAACAACACATTATCATTTGACATACATAAAACTTTGGCCTCAGTCTGGGGCGTTTCACAAAGCCATTTTTACCATGAAAACGTTTCTTTTTCTCACCAACAAAAGAATAAATACTTTTCTAAAATATAAATTTGATAATATAAATCAACATATACTTCAAGGACACAGGCTGAAAAAATAGGTCAGTTGTCTGAAGATGGCACAGCTTGAAACTCCGAGTAACAACATACACATACACATGTATTTGTCCAGTTTTATATTCCTGAAAGTCATCATTCCTCACCATAAAAAATTCCAGTGTATGTTTTATTCAGTAATCAGACTATGAACAGTTTCCTTAAAAAACTTTTGTCCACTTTGAATATTCAAATATTAAAGAAGTGAAACTATACACTTACTTGTAAAATATGCCATGCTTGCTCAACATCTGTGTCATGATGCCCATATCTCTGTATGGTATAATTAGTCATCCTACAAAAATAGATAATAACTTCCAGATGTTAGAAGTTCACTGCCATTTCTAACACAATAATTAAAAAATTTAAAAGTGAAGGGGTTCAGAAGCTATCTATAGCTCAGATCCACATAAAAAAAAACTAGAAAACCGCTTGACATTCTCTAATAAAAGGTTAAAGGGGCATTCCGCTTTTTTTGGAAAACATTTCTATTATCAAAAATATTTCTAAAGTATGCTATTTATATCTATGGATCTTCTTGATAATACTGTATTAGTTTTGAAAGGGTTAATGAAAAATGGAGAGTACTGATTGTTCATTAAGCAGTTTGGCCTAGTTTTGGTGTTTGCCTTTATAAGATTTCACTTACCAATTTGTAATGTTTCTAGGTTTTGTTCTCCAAGCATTTTCATTCATAAACTCATACATGACTTCATTTTGATAAATTCCTTCTGGTGTTATACCTACTCCTATCATTGTGGAATTCTCAAAGCTTCTTCCTTCAAATGGTCCCTAGTAATAAGAATGAGCTCTTGATTTTTTTCCCAAATTATCATACTAAATAAAAAATAAATTCTTCATAATGTCTGTAGTTCTTTTAATTCCAGATTAACATTTTGCTATATAAAAATTGTTTTAGGAATAAAATGATTTACAAATTCCCTTAATAGAAAAAAACAGTAGGCGTGATACATAAGATCTAAAATTTGGATCATCATTATGACACAAAAGTTTTTTTTACCTTATTAACTTGGTTTAAAGCACCATAGAGTTCCATAGTTCCACCAAAATTATGTAACATACACCATATAAATGGTTGACCATAGAATGATTGGCTTGTCTTATACACAGGATCTAATTCAGCATTTAAATCTAACACTATCATTTTACCCTTTAATAATATTTAAATAGATGGATATGATGACTCATCTACATAATTTCTGAACTAATAGTAAAAATTCTGACTATTTTTAAAGTTATTTAAGCAAATGAAGTTTATAAAATGTGAAAAAAAACACAAATATTTTAACAATGTGAATTGAAATGATCAATCAGTTTCCAGAATTCTTGGAATTTAAAAAGTTTTACAAACATCATTGAGGAAATATTTTATATTAATTTACCAAAGGAACACCAGTAACTAAAGCTTTTAATTGTGCTGGTTTCCAAAAACTTGAATGAAACAACCAGCCTTGCATTAGCCTGAAAGTAATCAGATTGGACAATGGTGGAAATTGCTCCAGCAAGTGGTTTGTTAAAAAGACACCATTGTCCTCCAATATCATACGTTATTCCAAGTAAATAGTTACCATCATCTCTTCAACACATTGCATATTTAAGTAATAAATGTTCATAATATTATGTAGATCAGTGTAGGTTGACATAATTGCAGGATTTCAATCAATTTGCATTTTTGATTTTCAAATGAATTATCATTTAATTGTATTACTTACCAGATAGCTTGGGGATCAGCTGCTAACATAGCATCATAAACAGCCTTTGATGTAGCAGATAAGTAATTTGGATCACTGAAATTTTGTAAGTAATCAGAGAGGTTGAAAATAACTATGATGGTTGTAAAATAACAATGATTGTAACTAACAGCAAAATGTGGAAGTAAATAACAATGGCTGTAACGCTTACGGTTGCAAAATAACAATGATGGCATGTAAATAACATGATAAATATATGGAAAAATGCACCAACCTAGACTTTGGTGTCATTTCATTAAACATATCAGTATTATAAATATGATCCCCACCAAATTCATTAATCATCTATGGAAAAAACGATATAAAAACATGATATATAATACATTGAAATAAGTTAAAGAAACCTTTAAGAACATTAAAATTAGCTTGAGAGTTCAAATAAAATCAGCTTTTCAGTTTATTGATGTAAGCATCAAGTGATATGAGCTTAATGGTCCATTATAATAAGCTCCAGAGCTTGTAATAGAAAACAAGATTGAAGTATATTACTTTAAATTTGAGGTGTTGATAAATTTTTGAGTAAAGTCAAAAGGAGTAGAAAATAGACCATCAAAGGAATGATATTTTATTCACCTCTTTAATAAAAGCAGCACCAATAGTTTTAAATAATGGATCTTGAAAATCTAATAAATAAGTTCTAAAAAACAAAAAAAATTGTCAAGAAATTATCAAAATGAAATCTCCTTCAGCTTTATATATAAACCATAATGAAACAAAAGATAGCTTTTGTATTAGCTCACTTTTTTTTTATAAAAAAACATAAGAATATAATGTGCAATAAATCTATGTCACTTTTGCCAATAACGCAGCCCTGATGAAGATTTTCTATCCAAAACACATACAAGCAATATGATATGATATTATTGAATTAAAATATATTAATGTAGTTGATCTTACTCTGAGTATTTTTCTCTAAAATTAGACCATGCAGACAATCGAGATACCACAGCTTTTGGGTATAATCTGGAAAAAAATTGTTTCATACAAAATTATGTATTTAAGTCTTTGGCATCTCAGAGACAGGCATAACTGCCCTAATGTTAATGATAACTCCATAGAAGTAATAACATGAGGCACTTTTATTGAATTATGGAAAACCAGATGTTAGAGTATAATTATGAATTCAGAGCTCATCTCACCTGGTTATAGCTGAAGGAACGTGACCAGCAAAAGCTGGTAAAACTGGTATCATACCTAACGATCGCATTCTAGCTAATATTTTATGTTGCAAAACCAATTTATCAGTTATCCATGTGGATGGAAGCGGTCCACCCCATCCATCAATATTACCCATTTTTGCCCTAGAAACACATAGATTTACAAAGCATATTTCTTTCACTAAGAAAACACTTGGTAAATTGGACCAAGAACGAAGAGAAACCGTAACCCTTTCAACACTAGTGGCTTCTATACCAGGCACAAAATTACATTGGATAAACCCTACCTGCTGTGAATTGGCTGCTATCAATTGACATCATACAAAGTTAATATCATACAATTTAAGTTATTTTACTTTGTGTTCAGGCTATATGAAGTTTTATGACTTTATGATCAAAGGGTAAATTCTAACCTACTCATGCTTAGCCCATGTTCAAAGATCTTGTTGAATTTAAACTCAAATATTATATTTAGACAGGTCAGCCTCTGCTACACCTACTTTTCTACTCTGCATTTCTGGGCTTGTCAAACATCCCTTTCCTTTCCAATGCAGAGCTCTTACACAGGCAAGATTTTTCAGAAATACCCAGAGTTGTATCCTCAAGTGTGTATACATGCAACTTTAGAACATAAACGAAGGTAAATATATTTACCATGCCAAAAATGCAGGACCACCAAAATGCTTTTCTAAATCAGCAAAAGTAAATCCTAAGTTCATGTATACCTTAAAAAAATGAAGATGGAATACTGGATGTCTGAAGCTAAAATTACAATGAAATTTTAAAAGCAAAAAATGTTGTAAAGAAGTCTTGAAACTGATTACATTGATTTTGCGAAGTTTGAGAGGTGGTATTCCTTTCACAAACTATAAATTTAATAAACTAACCCTTTGAAAGATGGTCTCCTGGCCTGTAAAAGCTAATGGTAGGTTTATACCCTGTAAAGCCATCCAATCTATATGTCTCTCCCATCGCGTCCAGTTTAACCAAACTAAACTATAACTCACTGTACATACATTCTGATAGTACCGAAACCTAAAAATTTATAATATAACACATACATTTTGGTAATACTAAAACCTAAAAATTTATAATATAACACATACATTCTGGTAATACCAAAACCTAAAATATTATAATATAACACATACATATTGGTACTGCCAAAACCTAAAAATTTATAATATTATGAAATAAGTTATATATCCAGATCTGCCATACACTTACTGGAAAATCGTTAAATTTTAAGAAACCTTACCTATCATTTGAAGTTTTAGTGATACCTGGTGATGGTACTACTGGTAATGGTGTTGGTAAATTAATTTGTTGACCAGCCCATGTAAACTGACCACCACAGTAATATTTAATATAGTAATATAGAATCCCATAGCCACTCCAACTCCACTGGTACCATTAATTTGCACTTTCCCATTTTGTGTTACAATCTACAAAGAATTAGAGTAATATTCCACAAAAACTACAACAGCCCATGACCATTTGAACAGAATATTAAAGGTCCCATTCTAAATGGACCCTGGTTTGCACTATGATCTGCAAGATCTGGATGCAGGTCAAGAAACGAATTCCGCAGCCACCCTAAAAAAGTGGAAATGACATCACCATTAGGCCTTCACATGGCTATTACCGGTGTGAAAGTTGTACAATGCTAAATTGAATCGAAATATGTAATTACTTTGTAAGTGTCTCTTTCAGCTGGTCCTAGAGTAAGATCTACTGTTAAGTTGAACTCATTAGCCCGAGATCCAATAACGCGTTGAATAAGATCTCTGACGTTCTGAGTTTGCACATTAGCTGATGTGTTTGATTTCAAATGTTTCAGTCCCTCAAATTCTGGAAAAATATCGAAAGCAACATGTCGTTACTATTTCAAACATGAAAGATATACCGGTACATCAAATATTACTACTTTTGCTAACAATGAGCTGGAAATTGAATTTAACCAGTAATTTAAAATATATACAAAATAAAATTTTCAATTGCATTAGAAATAAATGAATAACATGTGTTAATCATATTTTGGTAAGAATCTTCCTAGCGTAAAATAGTCTTGTTGTTTGTTTTCTACCTTTTATGACTTGTTAGGCCTCTATATATATTTCAAGTTGCAAGCCATCTTACCTATTCCATTGCAATTAGAAACTAAACCAACCAAAATAGTGAAACATACAAAATACTGTATCTAAAAGAAAAATATAACAAAAAAACTATATATAGTGTCTCTATTCTTTTTAAAACTATAATTTTTTTTTAAGGCAAAAATTCTTTTTTGGACAAGGGTCCTGGGGTCAAACTTAGGTATTGTCTAAGCAAATTAATCAGCCTCAAAATAATACTGATAGTTTTAAAATATCTTTGCGTTGATAAAAATATGCTCTTTTGTAAGTTTACATTGAAAAGAAAAGCAAATTTGGAAAATTCTCATAAAAAAAACCTTTTTACTTTGCTTGTTGACCTAATTATTTGTTTCATCCCAAGCTGTAACTTTATCATAATTACTTTCTTATAACCTGTGGATTTAGGGGTTCCTTGACAATCAACCCAAGATTGGGTTATATTAGACTTCAATATCAGGCAAAGATCTATTTTCGATACTCTACCAACAAAATTTAAGAAAACAACAGAAGCTATATTATAATGCAATAAATTGAAGCGCTACTTTCACAACGTCATTCGTTTTTTGTTTTCATAGAATTTCCTTATTTCAATCAGTAAGCAAAGACAAGATTTTAAATGGGATATTTACCTTTGCCATAATCCACATGATAGTTGAATTATGACATTTAAACAGATTGACACACGAATCAAAAATGCAATTTTATCTCAGAATCTCAGTGATTGTTTTTATTTTATGATATGTAGGTCAATGTGTCACATGAACGTCACGTGACATACGCCTACACATTCTCTTTCGCTTCCTTACTAGGGACTACGGACAACACAAAGTCTCAATTACTCCCCTTTGACCGCAAAAACTCTGTTACAAATCGCAAGAAAACTCGGGGGTGGGGGTGATGGAGTTGAATACATTAGACTAACCATGAAACAATAGTTTAATTTTGAAAGAAGAATAAAATAAACAATTGATTAAGCAAATATTAACATAAATTAGAGAATTGGATATTATGTAATTTTAGCAAGTAAATTATAATAACAGGAATGCTAAAACTTTTTGATTTATGGAAGTTAGTTTATCGAAGTCTTACTTTTCTGTGGATATGTGCGTGCAGTTCGCAAAATGGTCATTAAACAATGTTGCTACGGACTTTTAATTGTAGTCTAATGGAGTTATCCTAGTAAAATTTCCCTTATTACGCAATTCATGTAGTTTCCCGTATTCATCGAATCGAGTCGAATCGGGTGAAGAAAAGGACGTTAAACCCAATTTCTCTTTTATACCTTTCTGTCAAATCCCTTTTTTACAAGCTCCTCCCTCCCTTCGAATTTTAACACGGCACCACTTTTTTTTATGGGGTGGGGGTCATCACATAGCCAATTAGGCCAACTATAGAAAATCATCCTTGTCAACCATTAGTCGAAATTACCCCCCTTTGTCCACAATCAAATTCTATTGAGCCACACTGCACGAGCCAGATAACAAAATGCATGCTGTAGTAATGTGAATTTTATTTCTGAACGAATTGTGTCTTCGTTTTACGTAATAAAAAAAGGGTAAGATCACTAATATATTTCTGAACAGAGACCTAGCTTTGAATGCATTTTTTTATTTGAATTATTGCAATTGCAATCACTCAACAATTGATTGATTGATTCACTCTTTCATTTTTTCATTCATTCTGATTTATGTATCTGAATAATATGTCGGCTACACGAACAATGACAAGTCGAGTAGTGTACAGTGGAAACTTCAATTCATTTTAAATTACTTCATTTTGGTGCTGAAAGAATCCTTAGTACCGGTATTAAAAATCATTAATAGCTCACAAAAGATAAGTGTTTTGATTCATGTTTTTTAAGTAAATTGATTCAATGGAAGGGTCTAATCAACTGTGGACACTAGCCGAGGTGCCAGATTGTACAATCCAATTCAGTTCCCTTTCACAGAAAACGAGAAGGCCAGTGGAACTGTCCTGGCATAAATAATGACCCTCTTTACACACTGTTTACGTTAAAATCCATTTAATTCATTTCATTGTGATAGAAATCCCGTGTATTAATACTATTATTGCCATGAAACCCAGTTTTATATAACTACATTTTGAAATGCTTTCACCTTTGTATTTGGTGAAGAAGATAATGCTAAAGAAGAATAGCCAATATGATTAGTTATAGATAATGACAGATTTTCATTTTCGATATAAAACCACGTGATTATACATTACTGAATGTTTCAATGGAATTTTCTGCTGAGCGGGTGTATACAATTTTTGAAACTCACTAATAATGTGTAGCACAATTATAGATAAGGAGAATAGTCATAGATAATGGGAGGATTAGTTATATATACTGGTAAAGAAGGATAGCCAACGATTAGTTTAGATTAGAAGAGTAATAGAGTTGAATAATGGATAAAAGAATAGATTAGTTATAGAAGAATATTTAGAGATAATGAAGAACTATAGTTATAAATAATAGTTGAGAAGAATAGTTTAAGAAGACTTGCTACAGATAAAGGTAAAAGGTAAGCAAGTTTTGCTTTAGACTAATATAATATTTTGTTTCTTCTTTGCAGATTAAAGTGAAACAGAAGAGGAATAATATTATCCTACATCACACTGAACTTGTATAGAACAGCCAAAATTTTGTAGCGAAGTATTTAAAAATAATATATAACATAGTTTTCAAATGCTGTATGGTTAATACCAGGCTAAGATTTTTAGATATTTCTCAATATTTCGTATTGTAAGTCATTCACAAAATTCAAATCTCAGTGGTTCCCGAGATCATCTTCATTGAAAATAGTTTAGTTTGGATAGGCTTATAAATAAGAATTTTGGGAATGAAATATTTAGTGTGTTTTCCATGCGATCGATTGATTTCTATTCGAGAAGTAATGTACATATTATGATCTTTAAAACTTTTTAAAGTATTGTAGACCGCGCGATTTGTCTATGAATGAATATGATTTTGTTCCGTTCGTCCTAAATAAAAATTAGAATGCCAGTTTCATAGTAAAACTGTGGGTGTCCATAGAAATAAAGAGTATATTTAATTTTTTTTATTTTTAGATTAATTTTGCATTAGGAAATTTTCCACTTAAGTATCTCACATTTTGATTGACCATTGGCTATTTAATATTTTCTTATTATATCAAAATCAGTCTTAACCTGAGCCGAGCCTATTATTGTTGTGAAACAGATATTCCAATTCTGGGTTTTTCTGTTCTTCTCATAGGCCTACACAATTGAAGACCTGTAAAGTGCCACATAATTTAACTAGTTGGGACGTTTCCTTTTGTTTATATATACCAAAAGTGTGAAGAGTTATTGCTTACCTTGCTCTTTAGCTGAAATTTTCAATTAGAAAGTCAAAACCTAGCTGTCCTGATGGGAATTGTTGACAGAAGAATAAACCCACAGCGAAATTTAGTTTTCTTCATTATCCGAATACTCTCTGTAATCTAAATACACGTGTAGGTAGACTTAATTTGTTTGTTTGTCAGAATTGTACACTTTATTGACCTCTAGAGTGCGTTATTGTGGTTATTGACGACCTACATTACTGCAGCGTGTCATAATGTTATACATTGTAATAAGCTTGACAAGAAGGATTGTTGCTTCGTTTAAAGAGACACTTACAAATAGAATTTGTTAATATGATCCAAAATAATATTCAATAGGAATAATGCACTCCTTACTAATTTCGTGTCAATTGAATGAAAAGAATGGATTCAGTTCAATACTTATTTAGACATTTTGTAATTATGCATGAAATTAAACTTTGAGATGAGATAAGGGAATTTTTTCTCTAAACCTTGTATAGTTTTCATTTGAGCAAAAAAATCATTAAAAATCAGACCACCTCTGGCTCGACCCTAATATAAAAAAGTCAAGGCTCAGCATTTTTAAGACCCTTTATATTTCCTTCTGTGGGATCACTTGCACTGAATCGTTGTGGAAAGTTCTACAAGCTAGTATACCGACTATATATGAAATTGCAAAAAAAGGTAACAAAATTTTTCTGAATGAAAAAATAAATGATGATGTTAAGTGGCTGAATACTATCTGTTAATTCGGAATTTAAAATTTACAATTTAAACGAAAGTTCACTTTAAAGATATTGAAATTAATATTGATTTAACAAACTCAGTGATACAGGATATTCACGGTTAACATAACGTATACCAATAATAAAATATATAAACTGATATTATTTATCCATTTTACTGGGCGCTTAACAAG